AATTATACTATACCTACTTTGGTCGTCATTTAATGACCTGCTTGATTTCCTTTTTGTAAAACCTACCATATTTATGCCGTTCCTTTAGTATTTATTTCATCTCTACTGCTACAAGACTCCACAACATTTTCCTTCCCAATATTCTTCCGAAATATATTTCTAAATTGTGAAATTCAGTTTTTCTTCATAACACATCCCCTATGGATCCCTTCAAATTCCTCAAAATCACTCCAAACCCAGACGGATCCATCACCCGACTCTCTCCACTCCCAACAGCTCCAACAACAGAAGACGCAGCCGCTGATTCTGACCCTTCAGCCCAACTCGCCCTCTCCAAAGACATCCTTCTAAATCCGAACCACAAAACCTTTCTTCGCATATTCAGACCCCGAACTCCTCCTCCCAACACTAAGCTTCCTCTCATCATTTACTTTCACGGAGGCGGATTTGTCTTATTCAGTGCTACGTCTCGCCCTTTTCATGATTCGTGCTGCTCCATCGCAGCTCGTGTTCCGGCTTTAGTCCTGTCCGTTGAATACCGTCTTGCACCGGAGCATCGCCTTCCTGCAGCATATGATGATGCCATGGAGTCGATCATGTGGGTCCAGAAGCAAGCGATGGACATCAACAGCTGTGATCCATGGTTAAGTGATTACGCTGATTTTTCAAGGTGTTTTTTGATGGGAAGCAGTGCGGGCGGCAACATCGTTTATAACGCAGCTCTACGTTCACTGGACGTTGATCTTTCACCTCTGAAAATCGAGGGGCTGATAATTAATCAGCCACTCTTCGGCGGCGTCGAGAGAACGGAATCGGAAATCAGATTGATGAACGATCGCATTTTGCCCTTACCCGCCAACGATCTGATATGGGAGTTTGCATTGCCAAAGGATACGGATCGTGAACACGAGTACTGCAACTTGACGGTGAGTGGGACCACCCACAGTGCCGATATCGGACGGCTGCAAAGGTGTTTGGTGTGCGGACATGACGACGACCCACTAGTTGATAGGCAGAGAGAGTTTATGAAGATGTTGGAGGCGCGTGGGGTGAACGTGGTCGGACGGTTTGACGACGGTTGCCATGGTGTGGAGCTGTTTGATCCATCGAAAGCACAAACTTTTTATGATAATGTCAAGGCATTTGTCCATGCTCCCCGTGAAAGTGTTAATGTTGCTGGCGCTACATCTAACATTTGAACTTCAGACTTGGGAAAATGAAATAAAATAAACATGATCATTACCTTGACCCTAGTATAAAAACAGAAACAGTACCGAAGTGATTTGAAGAAGCCATTTATTAGAAAATAATATAGTTATAATGTTATTTTTTTTTGAACATGTAGTTATAATGTTATTTATTTACAATTTACTTGTAATATTATATATATAGTATTGTATTTAATATTATATATTTATAAATATATAATTATATATATATAAAATCGTAATTATAATATATATTTTATTTATTATGACATATAAGTGGTGTAATTAAAGGGGGGCAAGTTGAGCAGCAAATTAAAGGTGAGATTAAGGGGTAGCTGTGCATTTATGGGACGATCAACTGTCCCAGCGACCTAGAACTGGTGGCCATTAATTGAGATAACGCAAGAAATATGGTCCATGTTCCTACTACAATTGACTAAAAAGCAAAAGGCGGGGGGGTTGAGGGGAGGGTAGTTTTTCAGATGATAAATTCCTTGATTATATTCAAGATAGCTTGTGCTCTATTTATATCCACCATATCAACATTGTGGAACCCCAAATCATCAAAATGTGCCTCAACTTGGACGCCGCTCGTCACCAACATATTCACAAACTCTTGCTGCCGGTCGATCATAGGATCCAAAGCATACCCGATCACTAAACACCTCCTTAAAATTGAACCAATCTTTCTCCTGTACGGTCCATCTGACATCGGATTGCTGAAACGATGGTCCCGATCGGTTCCTTTGGGCAATGCTAGTTCCCACAGGAGGTCAATCACCGGTAACGGTAGCAGTTGATTCGTTGCGAAAGTCAGCTCAGACTGTTTCCTTTGTTTTCCTCCAAACATGGGTTGGTTCATGAAAATTCCAGTGATCTCTATAGGCTTCGGATCCAAAGCAGAACATCTTAACGCAGCCTGGAACGCAATGTTGGCACCGGAGCCTCGCCCGCCAAGGTAACATCTGGTGAAGTCTCCGTAATCTTTAAGCCACTGCTCCCCTGTTGTGTCCATCACCTGTTTCTTCACCCAGAGGATTGCATCCACGGCATCCTCGTACTGCGCTGGAAGCCGGTTCTCCGGTGCAAGACGGTAATCGACGGAGACAACGATGGAGGGTATTTCACCGCTGAACTCGTAGCATGCTTTATCGGTCAGCACGTTGGATGCCCTGCCGAAGATGAAGCCCCCGTCGTGGAAGTATAGCAAAATGGGAAGGCGGGCGACGGTCATGTCGTTGGATGGCAGTTTCGTTGGCCGGTATATACGAGCAAAGACGTTTGTTTCGGAGTTAATTATAATGTCTTTGGAGACGGTGTGTTTACCAGGTACGGGTTCGGGGTTGGGGTCGACATCGGGCAATTCCATGAGGCGGGTGATGCCACCGTCGGGGTTGAGATTGATCTGGAGGTGTTCGTAAGGGTCGAATTTCGACATTGTTGTTGCGTTAATCCTCTGAGAGTTGGGAGAATTTTGGTTCAGGATTCTGCTGCATGGTTCTAAAATGGGACATCTCCCCTTGTATTTCAATAATTAACGTTTGTTGAAATTGGGAAATTTAATTGAAATGCCGAAATATTTGGATTTGTTTGACTACTCCTATCCCTATTTTTGATCCTCAGAATTAGGGTTGATTTGAGGCCATCAATTTCTAGGTTGATTGAAGTATAATAATGATTAATAAATTTTAATTCTAATTCTTTTTTAAAATAATGTCTTAATAATTAAAATAATTTTATTACTAGGATAAAAATTTTCACATTTTTATAACCAAAATTTGAACTTGTATACTTATTCCTTCTCTCCATACCCATTTCCCCATAAATTTAAACTAGTTACTTTTAGTACATAAGAAAAAAAA